GACTCCATCCGCGTCGAATTTAAAAAAACTAAGTAGATGTGTGTAGAAAATCCGTTTAGCAGTTTAGGCTACAAACTCTAACAACCATCCATCTAAACATTCGCATTTAGTATGATAAAAGTCAATACTAAACAGCCCTTAATAATTAGAATTTTTTTAGCTACGATTTGCATGTTTTTTAAATCTTACTAACGTAAAAGCGAAAGTTTAGATGGATGTCTGTATGTAGCCTAAACTGCTGAGGATATCGTTAGAATTTGGTTTAAATGTAGAGCATAGTATGGATACATAGGCTACTTTTTTAGTTTATGTTTGTTAGTAGCCTAAACGGATAAAAATCACAGATGTAGAGGATAGTCTGGAAGGATACATAGGCTACACACTTTTGTTTTTAATTCCACCCGGGCGGATTCGCAGACAAAAGCTAGTTTATAATATTACAATAGCCGTAGTAAAATGTAATAGTCAAAATAGATTACAGTACCCTAAAGAATTCAAATGAGGTCATAATAGTAATTACTTTTATAATAAAAAAAAAATCTTTGAATGAAACTGAAAATCCTAATTTCAAGCAAGTGACCTGTATTTATCATAAAAGCGACGCTGCGATATTTTCTAGGGCGCCCTGAATTATTCACAAATGGACTGGACATAAATACTCTATATGTAGATATTATAAATTCTATTTTAGGATACATGTTTTTATTTTACTTATATAAATAGAAACGTGATATTAGGATATGTTATATATGGGAAAGAGAAGAGAGAAGAATGGGGAAGAGAAGAAGAGATATGTGATAGATGGATGGATGTTTGTTAGAGTTTGTAGCCTAAACTGCTGAACGGATATTGATGAAATTTGGCATAGTTGTAGAGAATAGTCTGGAAGAGCACATAGGCTACTCACTTTTGTTTTAATAGCACGCGGACGAAGTCGCGGCCGAAAGCTAGTCATACTAATGTTATAAATGCGTAAGTTTAGATGGATGTTTATTAGAGTTTGTAGCCTAAACTGCTGAACGTATTTGGATGAAATTTGTCATAGATATAGAGTATAGTATGGTAGAACACATAGGCTACTCAATTTTGTTTTATTTAATAGATGCAGTCGCGGGCGAAAGCTAGTTTTAACATATATTAGTGACAATCTATTCTAGTGTAGATTTAGCTACAAAGGTAGAGGAAGACAGAAGGACAGTATGGATTGAGAAAGAGGATATGCTAAAGGGAGTAAATTCAGATATGAGGACTGATAGATGGAAGAGTATATAGTACATTCTGTGCCTACCCTCTATAAGGACAAAGGGCAATGGTGTATCTATTCCAGTTTAAGTGTCTAGTGAGTTTATAAACTGACGGTATGCATTGATAAGTAACTCACAGTTCATGTCGACAGACAGCGTGCGAGATAATGGCGTTATTGAAGGGTCCGTCACAGCCTGTTAGAAATAATAATAATTTAAACAAAACATTAAAAATCTTAATTTAACACTAGCTGTTTCTTGCGACTTCGTCCGCGTAAAATTAAAACATAAAAATATAGCCTATGTTACTGATAGCGTAGCTTTTTATTGGTGAAATATTTTTTAAAATATGCCCAGTAGTTTTTGAGTTATTTCAATGCAGACAAAAGTACAAATCTTTCCTCTTTATAAAATTAGTATAAACAATGAAGGGCAAGAAATTACTCATATCCTTCTCTTAAGACCAAATATTGAAACTAATTTTAAACACTTTTCTTTGTAAGTTTTAATCTGATTCTGTTTTTTTTCACGATATTACGCGGACGAAGTTGCGAGCAACAGCTAGTAATAGATAAAATTTATTTCTGTAAATGAAAAATATTAAAAGTAGTATTTTATTGTTTACAATTACGTAATAAAAGAGCGTATACTTTACCTGACAAGTAATTTCAGTCCCGTAGTCAGATCTGTGTAAATTTAGCGACACTTTAGCCTTGCCTTCGGAGTTGTCGAGTAACGCGTGTGATTTCCACCACGAGACCCGAGCGGTAGGACGACCTTTACAAAAAGGTTACATTATTAAATAAACTATTAAATCAAACATCATCATAAACGTACTGTTGTTTTTTTTATAATATAAGGTGGCATAAAAGCAAGCGGCCACCTGAATCCACCGAAATGGAAAGCAACCGCTGCCCATAAACATCCGCAATTGAAGATGCGCTGCCTACCCTTATTTGATGGAGGAGACGCACATCTCTATTTCCCCTTACTATGCGTCTCTTCCACTGTTAAATCCACTTTCTCTTCCCATCCTTTCCTCTTAAGAAAAGTGCGGACTAAAATAAGGCCTCCGGTACCACACTCATCAGACTGTACGCGGAATTGCTTCCACTTCACGCCTGTCTTCTGTGCGGTCGTGGTATTACTGGGGGCGAGCCGACCCATTCGTACGAAGATGTTAAAATGGGCTCTACCACTGTTAACGTTTGTTTAATCGCGCCCTGATTACTATGAGCTTATATGGGGGTGCACTACTCAATTTTTAGTTACGTAACGTTGAAGCAACGAAACAATCGACAATCGCATAACATTACAATAGTTTAGTCAAAGGTCTCTCGCTCTTATGGTCGGTTTTCCAGCTACTTTTAACCATTAAGATTTCCGTTGAAACTTAGTTCAACCTAACAATAATGAACCATTAGGTAATAATAAAATAAATTGAAACTTCAGAAACCCCGCATTAGTGTAAGGTAAAGGTAAACAAGAAGATACTTACCACCAACAGCGATGCATGTGAGATTGACCGTCGTATCCTCGTCATAAGGGCCTAAGACATCGCCCTCCACTTCCTTACCTTCTTGATTTATTATTAACAGTCTGTCTGGTGGTACTACAAACAAAAAAAAACTCTTAGAATATGAAATGTCATAACGGTTCAAGGAACCAATGGCAATAATTGTATGAGATACTAATCCTATCAAACCAACCAAATCCAATAAATAGTGTTTCTATTTTATTTATTTTAATTATGTCTCTTCTATATATTTATTGAATCTCTTTGTACCAAACAGACGCAAGGTAATTCTATGTTCAATTGTATTGCAGCCTTAGACCACTTTGCATTTTGCGATACCTAGCTATTTTTGTAATTTCTTAAATTATCTCTAACTTTTTGTTTCAAAAACATAATAAACTAGCTGTTTCCGTGCGGCTTCATCCGCATGAAATTATAAAAGCATTCTCAATTGCAAATACCAAAATAACCTTGCTTTTCTGATGTTTGCAGCTCGTATCTTTCCCACATTGGGGTTTTTATCCAATTGATGTACTCCCTAAGTTTAATAGCGTGACGTTATACAGCCTAAAGCGTGACGTAAGTGTAGGGCTTTTTACTCAAAACAGAATTATTCAAAAATATGCTGTAATTGTTGTGATCTCACGCCACAAAGAAGTGTGTGTTAACGCTTTATTATAATAGTATAGATAAAAAAAATCTGAGCGATTGCCGAAAGTATAAGCGTAAAAGTATACCTACTAAGTACGGTAAGATTGAGTCTTGTGTTCTTTGTTTGTGATTTGATGAAGTCCACTCGACATCTGTACTGACCGCTGTCTTCAGCCCTGTGGAAAACAAACAATTAACATACGAAGAATAAAAATTAATTGATGCATTAAAAAAATCATGTAATAGTAGACCTTTAGCTGTACTTTAAATTCTGCAAGTATTTTTGTTAATTATATAATGCAAATGAGTATATTAGAGGAAGTTTGAGAGTAGCCCCAGTGGTTGAGAAAATAAGGAGTAAGAGGTTAGAGTGGTATGGGCATGTTATGAGGAGTGATGAATCACATGTAACAAAAATGATGTTAGTTATGAAATTGGAGGGGTACATCGGTAGAGGTATACCTAGAAAGAGATGGATGGATTGCGTGAAAGGTGACATGCTCAAGAAGGGAGTGATGACTGAGATGACGGACGATAGAGTGCTTTGGAGGACGAAAACCCGGTGCGCCGACCCTACGGGAGTAGGATAAGGCAGGGGAGATGATGATATAATGCAAAAGAGTATGTATCTAAATTTGCTAATAGCGCGCGCACCTATCACTTAACTATCGCACGACTGTTGAGTCGCACTTTGATTCCTATGAGGTTATATGGAGGTGTGCCAATTTTAGTTGTGCAACTAAACAGTTGAATTGGCTGCGAAACAATCGACAATCGCACAATTGTGCGATAATTTAGTCAACGCTGTTTACTCGCTCTAAGCGAAGCGACCTCCCTGTTGATATTTGCAACAAAAGTAATGCAAAAAACAAACAGAATTGATTACCTTCTTCTTTTGGGAAGTCGGTCAAAAAATGTAATGCTTCTTCTGGAGAAGTTCTGAAGAAAACTCTATTTTAGGCATTTGGAGATAATTAACTTAATTATAATAAAAGTACCATATGCTTAATGTTGGCAAATCATCATAATCCACTTGCCCTTATCCCTTACGGAGGGTCTGCACAGTATGTGCTACTTCCATACATCTCTATCAGCCGTCATATCTGAATCCACTTCCTTAAGCATATCCTCTTTCACACAATCCATACTTTCTTCGGTCTTCCTCTACCTTTGTACATCCACATTCAATCTTAACACTTTCTGGCAAATATTTTACTTTTATTACACGTCAAATAAAATTACGATGTAAATAAAATGTGAGTACGTTAACTTTAACGGTTATAGACGTTGTTAATTTGTATAAAGGTACTGTAACTAACGATATCTGAGATTGACGGACAACGGCCATGTTTAATTACTTGATGAAGCGAGGAAATTCTTCGAAGCGACCAGCTAGTACTAATTAACGAGACTTAAACCCCTTTTCCACTGACTATACATATATCAATACAGCTATCGCGTGTTATTTGCATGGCGCTCATTCTAGTGGAAATTGTGCTTATACCCGCAATCTGTGGACGGTGTTTGTATTGCCAAAATAATCTTATTAATATTATAAATGCGAAAGTTTGGGTGATAGATGAATGTTTGTTATTTTGTAGCCTAAACGGCTGAATAAAATTTGGTATAGATGTAGAGTATAATCTGAAAGAACACATAGACTTCTTGTTTTTGTTTTTTTTTTTCTCCGCGGACACTTTTTACGTGTCATTAGATGACATCTATTCAGTCAATAAATAATTGAGAAGACACGATGTTAATGCAATTAAATCATACATTAAAACCGAATGGCTTGTCTGCCAGTGGAAAAAGGGCTTTAACATACCCCACGGAGCCTGTGTAATGTAATAGAAGTAATGACCACCCGTCGATAAAGATAAAACTAACCTAAAATTTATTTATATGACTGTCGTATTGTTAATTTTAATTTATAACCATTTTTAGTATTTCAAATCGAATGAAATTACATGTATAAGTATCAAGTCAGACAAATTGACTAATCTCACAAAGTTATACCAGCATGCCAGTAACTGGCTCTACGATCACGCAATGCGTGGGACAATCAAACCTGAGGGCGGCCACCGGGCTTTCAATGAATAGTAATCGCATACAATCCTATCTTTTATAATAAATAACGATCATGGTATGTCTCGAAG